ACACACACACACACACACACACACACACACACACACACACACACACACACACACACACACACACACACACACACACACACACAAACAAACACACAGACACACACACACACACAACCATATCTAGCTATGTACTTCCGTGTTCTTTGTATTCCTTTTTCCCATTTTTCCTCAAGTACTTTCTATGGTGCGAAGCAAGCACCTTCCCAAACAGTCAGTGGTTCCTCGTTTGGAGTGCCTACTGCATTATCAGGCGGGAGGCACTCTGTTTGTGATGTCTGTGTGGTGCATATGGTCTATGGTGATGACAAACGAGAGGCGTTGAGAGGCGGAGTAACTCCCTGACTCAGCTTGTGGTGGGAAACAACAGTCTGTGGGGTTCCACTTGTGGCATGAGTAGGCGAAGTGCTGCTTTGCTCCGTGTTGGATGTGTGGACTGCCTTGTCTATGCTCCGCCACTGTCTTGCTGCCCATCCCACTTGCTCCCCACGTCATCCTTTGCCGCTGCTGTGTTGCCGTGTAGTTTGGCTGCATTGGTGGTGTCGAGTTGTGCTTCGTTATGCTGTTGCCTTGCTTCCCATCCGTGTGCCTTGTCTTCCTGTGCACTTTGCTCACATGCGGTGTAGATGGCTGTTTGACAGTGCCTCCCTGTGCTTCGCTGTGTTGTTGTCATGATGCTGCAGCCGTGCGCTTGCACTGTCGTTCCATGCAGTAAGCCTTAATGTTGTGCAGTTGGGTTGGCCCGGCAGCATTGCCAGGTGCTTCGCTGAGTCGTTGCCTGGTGCTATGTCCCGATTGTGGTGTTGCTGGCTGGCCGTCTGCTTTCAACAACGGTCAAAATGTTCATGACCCAAAGCATCAATATGGGGATTAAGCAGATTGTCGAGGCTTCAGCCTCTTGATGAGTAGTTCCGACAGAACAATGTTTCATCATCAGTTTTTTTTTGTTTTTATTTTTCACTTGTTTTTTCTTCATACTTGTCCTTTTCTTGCCCGCTGCTTGTTGTCTTGTGTTTGCATTGTGTGCTCGTGTGTTGTCTGCCCTCCTGCCTCCTACATGCCCTCCAGCCTATGTGTTGCTAGAAATACAGTGTTCGCTTTGTGTTTAAGAGAGGAGAGGGATGTCATCAGCTCGTCTGGTTCATGGCCGGCATGTCACAGACCAGCAGTCAATGACATGGCTAGAGGTATATGCTGATGGATGGTGGGAGGAAGGGTAAACTTACACCCACCACACACACACCACAGCACACACACAACACACACACACACACACACACACACACGCACAAAAGACCATGCCTTCCACAGTCTGTGGTTGGTGGGAGGAAGGGTAAACTTACCGAATCAACAATACTGACACGCACTTGCGGTGCTTGATTTGGATCCACAGGCCTACGTCCTGAGACAAGCTCCAACAGCACCACACCGAAGCTGTAGACGTCGCTTTTCTCAGTAAGCTTTCGTGAAATGAAATACTCAGGATCGAGGTAACCTGAACAATGTCATCAGAGCCCCGAACAAAAAGAGAACAACACAAATAAATTGCGAGAAGAGAAGAACACAAAAAAAAAATCACAAGTCAGAAAAGACCAGACTTCACACATCAGCCGAACTTAGATCCCTTGGACAGTCACTGGACTATATTGTTATGCTTCTGGTTGTTTGTTGTCTGATGACCAACACTCACTCACATAGACTTCCAGGTATGCCCATATACATACACAGAAGGAAGGGGAGAGGGTAGGAGTATCACACCGCACAGGGAGAGATAACACAGCGGAAGACTTGACCATGCGATATGACCGGGTACACTGAAAGTGCAATTCACTCCACTCAATCCTCACAACCAGTCATAAAGAAAAGCCGAGCAGATCACATCCAGGAAACAATGAAACGATGATAGTCCAAACCCAGTTACACACTGTTTATTAAACTCAGAGTCTCGAATTGTCAGGATAACTTAGAAGTGATCAGCGCTTCACTCCCCAACCCTGATTAGCACCCGTAACAACCTGAGCCCCTGAAACATCAAGCGCCACCCAGATACAGCCTCCACAGGGAAGCGCCACCCTGAAACAGGCCTCTGAGGCCAAGCGCCACTCAGAGGATGAAGAAGAAGACCAGCGCCACAGTATCTGATGATGACGAAGTGTCGGAAGACTTCCCAGATGGAAGTCTGCAGCAGCGCCACCAAACCCTGACAAGATGACCTCTGAGGAAGAAGCTGCAGCTATGGCTGCAGCGCCACCACCCTGGAACCCCACTCCAGAGGAGGGTCCAGCAGACCTCGATAGCCCAGACCTCTGTCGGCCCCTGCATGCTGGCAGAGTACAGCGCAGGTCCCAGCTATGGCCGGCGCTCCGAAGGTCTGGCTATGCCCGTCTCCTTCCACGCGGAGCCGTCACCACTTCCGGTTCACGCATAGCGCAGCAGCGATGTACTCGGTACCAACTGCCAAAAGCCCTGAACCGATGTGCCCATTCTATCCATAGACTAACCTAGCCTAAACTCCACCTAGACCGAACTGACTGACCGACCGGTACCATTTCTGTTTCCGCCTCTCGGCCTCTACCGGACCCGGCTATAGGCTATAGAACCGTCTATCAGAATAGGCCCTTAGGCCTCTCTGTCCTAGAGGTAGCCCGGGCCTGCTATTCGCAGTTAGGGTAGCGGTAGGCAATTCTGTTAGTACCTGGCCTGCATTTTCCCCCGAATTTGCAGATATGTCCCTCACGAATTTCCTTCACAGGTAGGTCTCTGGGTTAGCCCTAAGCCAAACAAAATTATGAATCTATCCTACCTATAGTACAGCCTCGACAGAGAGAGGCTACAGGAACCAGAACACAGCAAGTCATTGCAATATTGTCTCTGTCCGCTAATATGTTAGGAGGCTTTCACTCATACATCATTCATGTCGTTTGAGCATGCAGGCAGCTACGACGATCACCCCAAATACATGAAGATCAAGTCTGTCTTCTTGAACAGAAACATTACGCCAGGCCCACAAGCAGTTGGCAGAATCTTCAATGGCCAGATATCCCACGCACACGAAAAATTATGGATGATGTAGCTATGGTGGGTCCGTCCCCACGTCTCACACATTTGCAATTTCGCGATAACAGGCCAACAAAATTTGTCCGCACAAGCACAAGGTGAACTTCAGACTAACTTCCCACGGTGCAACCCCTGTCACGTGCTGCAATCACAGATGCCGATCAGAGTTACACGCAGACTTCATGTGCTACAATCTCTCCTACCACAGACAAGTCTCCTTCTCTCCTACACAGGATCTTTCCCTGGCTCCCACTAAATGGCTTGCTCACCACAGAGCAAAAACTCTCTCCCACGAGCGCCCGCCACTACAGCGCGATCCCACCCCAAAAATAACAGGAAACAACTAACAGATGACAACTCTGTTGCCCTTCTACTCCAGGTAGGGCTGTCTTCTTCACCCCACAACACACTGCTTGTTTTCCATGAACCACCACCACGCAGAATGAATGGGGCTGCAAAAACGAGTTCTGTAGTTTTGTTTCCCGAGCAGTTTCCCCCGTTTGCCCTTCGAACCATCCAGATAGCTTGGTGGACTCACAATTATCGCACAATGGCACTAAGCATTGACTTTACGTACACATAAGAGCAGGTCTCAGGTTCAAGGCTCCACAAGCACAGTCAACGGTTACAGCAGGGTATAGCTAGCAACAGGTAAGGGCACAGGTAAAAGTCAACACCAGGTCCGGGTTCAAACTCCAGGTAAAAGTCAACACCAGGTCCCGGGTCCAAACTCCAACAACATCAGAAAGGCATACAACATAGCAGAAAGGGCACCAAAACAACGACAGGTCCCGGGAGCAAATCACGGCAGGCTTCGGAAGGTGAATCCTTTCAAATACTTCACAAATAGGGTGGCAGCCTTGAAATATCATCATCGAGTTGATGAGCCCCAGCAGGTAATTCAGAACGATTTCATTGGATACATCTAGGTCCATCAGTATTCCAACTTGGGTCTGTATTTCAACAATTCATTGGTGTACTGACGGAGCTAAGCTCATTGGTCAAACAATCTTCTTTGTTTTCTACCTTCTCTCCTTTTTCTTGAGAGGCCTTGAGATATCATCGTTGAACTTACCTGGCCCAGGTAATTCAGAATAATGTCTTTTTCTGTTCAGGTGATTCTAGGTAATTCGGAATGATATTTTTCTGTTCATCTGATTGTATCTGGATTCGAAATTGCGTCTGTATTTCAACAGTTCTTGGGTGTACCAACTGATCTAGGTCCAAACAATCTAAATACAGTACAATACAAGATTGTCGACCTTTATGAAAATTACAAGTCATTGCAGTGGTCTTAAGTTCCGTCCAACACAATAACCCCGCGAATAGCACCTTGTCATGGGTAGCAACATATACACATGGACATGACCTTAAGCAATCTGTCTGACGGACTCCAACCCATTCTGAGCCCACTTCCTCCCCCCCCCCCAGCCCCACCCACCCTCCTTGACCCCTTCTCTTTGCCTTTCCATTGACTCTCTCTCTCTCTCTCTCTCTCTCTCTCTCTCTCTCTCTCTCTCTCTCTCTCTCACACACACACACACACACACACACACACACACACACACACAGACACATTCCTTGTTGCCCAGCTTCCCTGTCTCTCACAGTTCCCCTCTCTACTGCTTGGACCTCTTCTTCCATACTTGGTCATTGGGCATCACTCCACTGCACAGCATTCTAAATGCATCTGGACCTGGACGTGGTCCTCATGCATTTAAAATGTTTGATCAGTCGGAATGTATATCCGTGGTCCCTACCAACAGTGTAGATAGAGCGTTGGGTAGTGGAGTGAGGCCCATTGTTTATCTTGATTTCACGCATCCCCTGTCACTCACATTGCCTCTCTTACTACGCATTCCCTGCCCTGCTGGTGACACGACGACATGACCTTATGTTTTTCACCTGATGTTTTGTTACTCATGTCCGCATTCTCACGTCTGATATCTCCAGCTGTTTTCACAAACAGCCTTGTACAAAGTAACTTTCAACTGGAGGCCAAATAACTAGAGGAGTTTCACATAATGCAACTTTTTTCACGTAATTGTTCGGATTGCGGAGGGCGGATGAACGAACCTGCAGTCCCCTTGATTCCTGTTTGCACACCTGTAACATCATCCAGAACCTTGGAGAATCCAAAATCTCCCACCTTTGCTTGGAAATTCTCATCTAAGAGAATGTTCGAGGACTTCAAATCCCTATGTATGACAGCAGGTCTAATCTCATTGTGCAAATGATTGATCTGGTCAACGTGCAACAATCCGTCCAAAGAACCATACATGCCACACAGAGAGTACACATATGCTCAGCATGGACACATACATACCTCTTGTCTCCCTCCATCCGTTAGTCAAAGCGCATTCACACATAAAGAAGCGCATCACATCACTCCAGCTTTTTGGCTTGGTTGCCAGGCAACTGGCCAACACAAATGAAGTTGCAATTACCAGCAAAATTAATAATTATCGATTTGAGCTTTGTGTGGATTAATATAAACATCATGCGGAAACCTACGGTGTTCAGCCTCAAATGGCGGGAGTAGGATTTGAATTTTGAACCTACAACAACAACATTCAGATTATTAGCGGGACAAGTTTCCAAATTAGATTGAAATCAGGGTTGTTTAATGATCCGTGCGTGCGTGCCTGTGGTCTTGCGTGACTGTCTGAGTTGTCTGCATGAGTGTGCGTGTGACCCGGAAGGGTACTTGCTCGTTTTGGCAGGCCCTAGGGCCGGTACTTACCTGTGGCCGTGGCATTAAGGGTTGCTGCAAGGGAAACACTCAAGTGGCGAAGCTATCGGCCCCGCGGCCCATGGGGTAGCGGAAAAACACTCAAGTGGGCAGGTAGGCCGATACCGCACCCCACTGCAGTTGGTATGAAGGGGTACTGGAGGCCGAGCAGAAGAAGACAAAGTTGGCATTTTTAGAGTCCAGTAGCAGTAGGGTAGGTCTAGGCCGGTACCAGTCCAACCAGTCTGAG